TTTTTTTTGGTTATTTTATTTTTTATGAAGAGACAGTTGATCCTCAAATGAAACATACAACTTACACTACTGTATAAAAGAGCAACCATAGAGCAATTTTCTCAGTTTAGTGTACAAAACACAAGCCTTAAACAAAGTCTACAAATATTACTCATTAAACATAATATTTGCAGGTGAAAAACTGTACATAGAAAATCTGTTACGTCTTCCCTTAAGAGTTTCGCACCAATTCACACTCGCTAACCCTTTGCAAAGCTCTGAATACAAACAGATCTGCAGTGTATTCCAGCATTTTTGCATTAGTGCTCGATTTACCCCTCTGCTTCAACTGCAAACCAAAATAAACTCCAGTAAGTCTTGGGCTTTTCAAAGCAGCGTGAAAAACAACAAACTGAATCCAGCCATCAAATCTTTTATCTCCTTATATTGCCTTTTCTGAGCAACAACAGTTATGTTTGTCACGCATGACGTTTTGCCTACACTGAAAAGTAAATGTTACGTATCCCATGAGACACGGTCAATAAATCTTGCTGCACCCTGTCCACTTTCGCGATATGGAAAAATGAGTTCAGAGTTCAGAATATAAAAGCATTAAGCCAGGGCAACTCAGCTTAAGGGCCTCACTGCTAATATTTATAGTATTATTTTATATTAAAGAGCTCATTATTTACTCACCCTTATGTTGTGAAACTGTATGAGCTTCTTTTGTGGAAAATAAAAGAATATATTCTAAAGAATGTGAAAGTCTATGGGGTCCAAAATGTCATCGTACCACATTGACTCTCAATTAACAGACAAAGCCATTTTCAAAAATATATTCTTTTTGTGTTCTCAAGGGTTCTCAAGGTCAACAGAACCCGTTTTCAGATGTACTGGTGATATGCAGCTTAACCACAAATCCATCATCCACCCTGACACTTTATCAATACCTCAAACGGGAGACCAGACGCCCTCACCAGAGGCCATTATGTTGACCCGCGTAACTGATCTATGACCACGCTTCCCAAACGAAATCTAAACTTTTATATACCACAAAGCAAAATCGGTTTAAGATCAGTTATGGAGACTTACCTGTAAGATTTGTGGAGAGCAGGAGCAGAGCGTCGCAGGTCAGGTCAGCTGTTACCCTGGAGATTAGCGTAATCCAGATGGTCAACACCTGCAACGGTAGTGCAAAGAAAGGAAATTTGTGCAGGGAAAACAAAAGTGTGGCTTTAGCATCCATCTGGATATCCAGAAAGAGACAGCATACAATGGAAAAGTAAATCAGGTCAACATCTGTCTCATGCTAATGCAGGTACGCCTGTCACACGGTTGTGCTTCTGAAGTCATACACTAGCTATGTGTGAGAAACAGACTGAAATTTAAGTTGCTTTCGAAGATGTGCAACTTTACTTTTCCACTGCTTAATTGGTTACCTGTAAAACCTTACAGTTATGTAAGCATAACTTGCTTATTTACAATGAAAGTCTACAGAATAAATTACATTTTAATTTAGGGCCCCATGAAATTAGATATTATTTCCCAAATTCTGTGTTTTCCATTTTATTTGTATTATGTGTTTTAAGATTTAATAATAATAATAAAAATAAAAAAAAAATTGTGAAATTAATGAAAATTCTACACATTTAAGAAATGTTAAATTAAATTAAATTAAAGTTTATATTTCTTTTTTGTATACTTGTATACTCTATAAAACATGGAAAATATGGAAAAAACATGGTTGTTTGAAATAAACAAACAAATGAACGAACGAACGAATGAATGAATGAATGAATGAATGAATGAATG